TAACTGAATTAAGGTGCTATGCTTCCATGTTTATCTTAAAGGGGTATAATGTTTACCATGTTCACTACTGCACGGAAAAATAAGGGGTCCCACCCTCCACCCCGGGACGATACACACAATGCAATGGACGCGAAACCTAGAGCCAACAACTGCTTTTGTAATTACCTGTTTTAACGTCAAATGTTGGAGAAGTTTATATCGTCGAAAAGGGAAACAGATTCTGCATTGGGGTCTCCGCCACTTCCTCCATTCACTAATGCGAATCCTCGAGTAGCAATTTGAGAAGCAAGTAGGCTAAATGTTGACTGAAAACATCACCTCAAGGGTATATGTCGCCCTCCCCCATCCAACATACAGTATCAACAACAACGGGAAGACGTATTTTAGAAAACGACTGCTTTTCGGCCGACACACAGAGACACTCCCTTTAAGCAGGGCGCCCTTTAAACAAACTAACGTAACGCCACTACATACCTAAAGTCTGCAGTCGACGCATTATGGACGATAAAAACACCAATTGGACCCAACAAGTAATGCAACATTGTCGCAAACTGCGACATTTAACTAACGAGTCCTGCTGGCTGCCGTGTGAAGGAAACAGTTGAGGACAAAAAGTCGCTGGGAGAAGCCCCGAGTGAGTGCGGTAATAGATGGTTATTTACACCGATAAAGGTCAAACAGAAGTGAAATTCAAGCCGTGCAATTGTGTGCCGTGCAACAAGCATTATCCTTACCTACACATTGAATGAGTTTGTGTGGCCACGAGTCAAGTTCCTTCCGAATGCTGTATCTGTCGATTGTGCATTGCTGCCTTTTACACAGGCTCGCCATTTTCTATAAGTCTTCCTTCTGGCGGCAGCACTACGGAAGCAGGAAGGACTGCGTGAACGCGCACGCACCCTGCGTCAAAGGCGAAATCACTCTCAGTATGCAAAACTGATAGTCTGATTAAATCAGTCTGTTAATCAGTAACTAACTAAATAAATGCAATTAAGTAATCTATAATATTTGTATTACCCATGTAATGACTTTTTAAAATAGTTTCTATTTTAAAACGTGCTTTTCCTTGATAGACTACATTTTACATTTTAATTTAAATGCTGCTATTTCTATTCTTTTTAATTTTTTTTATTTAGCGCTTAAAGCTCAGTAACTATACTAGAATCATGAATTACTTACAAGGCAAAAGGGTGTCAGGTTTAGTAAGCAAGAATGTAAGTAATTGACAAAAAGTTACATTGACATTGAAGCCAACCACCTTTATCAGTTTTTAAGTTTTCGTCTCTCCACCAGAGTCTAACTTAGCTATATTAGAGAAAAATAGCTTCATGGCAATAGTTCATGATTAGCTACAAAATTTCTTATATTGATCATTCTCAAAGAAGGAATCCTAATGACAGCTGTCAGGTTACAAATAAACAGCATTGCCAGGTGAAATACTGTAGCATTTTTCTGTTGTATTTTATTTTCTATATAGTTTTGTTTTAATAAATTTTTTTTATCAATGTTCTCTCGACGTCATTTAATACCATCTTTGACTGGAGTACAGAGCGCTCATAGGGATCATTTTGTGAGGAAGAAGAGTTCATTTATATGAACATGCTCAGAGTCTGAAGCAGAAAGTCTGGGTTTACAAAGAAAGTTGAGAACCATAATTGTGATAGCCCTTATATCTGACTAACGTTCATGATTTTGTCAAGCCACCTAATGCAAAGAAAGCCAAAGTGTGTATAACTGCCTTTACAGTACATGTAAGTACATCCCTGAGGTCTTACAGTTAGGTAAATACAAGTTTAACTTGAACAAAAACACATGGCATTTTAAACTATAGCATTATTTATGTAAACCAAAATGAAATTTGGCTTACATAAATAAGGTATTACATAAATAGGTATTCTGTTTTCTGTGTTCTTGTAGTAGTTCCGGATCTAGCAGCAGATTACAATCAGGTATCAAAACATTTATGCATTTTTTTGCAACCCCTTATTGAATACAATTTGCTTTGGAATTACAGCTGAGCTTTGTTGGTAATGTTAGTAGGATACAGCTGTACATACAGTGGGATGCAAACGTTTGGGCAACCTTCTTAATAGTTTTCCTGTATAAATCGTTGGTTGTTACAATAAAAAAATGCCAGTTAAATATATCATATAGGAGGCACACACAGCGATATTTGAGATGTGAAATGAAGTTTATTGGATTTACAGAAAATGTGCAATAATTGTTTAAACAAAATCAGGCAGGTGCATAAATTTGGGCACTGTTGTCATTTTATTGATTCCAAAACCTTTAGAACTAATTATTGGAACTCAAATTGACTTGGTAAGCTCAGTGACCCCTGACCTACATACACAGGTGAATCCAATAATGAGAAAGAGTATCTAGGGGGGTCAATTGTAAGTTTCCCTCCTCTTTTAATTTTCTCTGAAGAGTAGCAACATGGGGGTCTCAAAACAACTCTCAAATGACCTGAAGACAAAGATTGTTCACCATCATGGTTCAGGGGAAGGATACAGAAAGCTGTCTCAGAGATTTAAGCTGTCTGTTTCCACAGTTAGGAACACATTGAGAAAATGGAAGACCACAGGCTCAGTTCAAGTTAAGGCTCGAAGTGGCAGACCAAGAAAAATCTCGGATAGACGGAAGCGACGAATGGTGGGGAACAGTCAGAGTCAACCAGCACCAAAGACCTACAACATCATCTTGCAGCAGATGGAGTCACTGTGCATCGTTCAACCATTCGGCGCACTTTACACAAGGAGATGCTGTATGTGAGAGTGATGCAGAGGAAGCCTTTTCTCCGCCCTCAGCATAAACAGAGTAGCTTGAGGTACCCTAAAGCACATTTGGATAAGCCAGCTTCATTCTGGAATAAGGTACTGTGGACTTATCAAACTAAAAATTGAGTTATTTGGGCATAACAAGGGGCGTTATGCATGGACGAAAAAGAACACAGCATTCCAAGAAAAACACCTGCTACCTACAGTAAAATATGGTGGTGGTTCCATCATGCTGTGGGGCTGTGTGGCCAGTGCAGGGACTGGGAATCTTGTCAAAGTTGAGGGACACATGGATTCCATTCAGTATCAGCAGATTCTGGAGACCAATGTCCATGAATCAGTGACAAAGCTGAAGCTGCGCCGGGGCTGGATCTTTCAACAAGACAACGACCCGAAACACTGCTCAAAATCCACTAAGGCATTCATGCAGAGGAACAAGTACAACGTTTTGGAATGGCGATCTCAGTCCCCAGACCTGAATATTATTTAAAATCTATGGTGTGAGTTAAATGGAATGGTCCAAAATACCTTCAACCACAATCCAGACTGTCATTGGAACCTACAGAAAACATTTAGAGGCTGTAACTTCTGCAAAAGCCGAACTACTAAATATTGATTTCATTTCTTTTTTTGTGGTGCCCAAATTTATGCACCTGCCTGATTTTGAATAAACTTAATTTCACTTCTCAAATATCACTGTCTGTGTCTCCTATATGATATATTTAACTGACTTTTTCTTTTATTGTAACAACCAACGATTTATACAGGAAAATGATGACTATTAACAAGGTTGCCCAAACTTTTGCATCCCACTGTATAAAACACGTTTCCCTAGAGGATCTATATGACACTGAATGCTATAAATTTTATAAAAGATGTGAAAAAGTGACACTTCCACATGATTTTTAAACAAAACTTAAGCCACTCCTGAACCAGGTTATATGTTTTGCATAAGTTGCCATGATAATTTAGCCCAGTAAAAAGAGAGAACCACTTTCATGACACTGAAAATTCTGACTTTAAGCTCAACATAGCTCACTAACCCACTGCTTCACAGCAGATTTTTACTATGTCCTGATAAAACCCTTAGAATTGAACAAATGTGTGTTTACTTTTTACCACGACTATATATTAACTCTCTTATCATAATGGGTTGCCACAGAGGGTAGCTCTGCATTTTTGATGTTTCAGATTTCAATTTGACCAGTGTTTGCATTGGTCACTCTGTCGGGGACACCCATTCAACTGCTTGTTAACACAGATGTCTAATGAGCTAATCACATGGAAGCAACTCAATGCATTTAAGTATGTAGACATGGTCAAGATGACCTCCTGTAGTTCAAACTGATCAGTGGTGAAGAAAAGTGATTTACTACCCTTAATACCAGTTAAACATTATTTAAACACCACAGCCCACCTCTGTATTGCTCATGACCATATCCACTTCTTTATTGTATTAGTCTTTTGACTGTTGCTTCCAGCAGGATAGTGCACCATGTCACAAAGCTCAAATAATTGCAAACTGGTTCCTTGACAATGAGTCACGGCACTGAGCACAAATGGCTTCTACAGGCACCAGCTTTCAATCCAGTAGAGCGCCCCTGGGATGGCAGATTCACTGCCATAGACTGCCAGATTCATCATAGATGAGCAACCAACAATTCTGCAGTAACTGTGTGAGGTTATCATATCAATATAGACCCAGGTCTCCAGCACCTTGTTAAATTACGTGCCATGAAGAATTGTTGTGAAGTCAGCTGTGAAGGCAAAAGGGAGTGCAGCCCAGTAGTATTAAATAAAGTGACTAGGTTATTATTAAGAAAACCTCTGCAATATACATCAGTAGGCTACCATGAGCTAGGACAGGGAGTTTGGCCATCTAACTAAAATAAAATCCCGACATCTTAATCAGATTTTTAAAAATAGTAAGAATTTAGTAGTATTAGTAGTAATAGCATGTTTGGTCCTATATAAAACACAGCATTGGCCAACAATAATGACAAAAATAATTAAACAGCTTCAGAAAAATGCCCAGCATCATTCTATGATAAATATGTCTGCCACTGTCTGTAACCTGCAGCACACTATGCCAACGGCGTTGTAATGCTACGTTCACGTGCTGCCGGAATTATTAAACCTTAGCGGAAGGGTGGCCACCAACAAAAAGTCGACAACTATAAAACATTTGATAGCAACCAAATAGGGTTTAAAAAATAAAACATGGGAATTTCCCACCTTATAATTCAACGTGCAAACAAATGAATCCAAAAGAATGACGATTTTTGCATTTTTTCCAAAGCGTGTCTGGGACAACTGCTTCGATCAAGCTTACGAGGAGGACCTGAATGCGACAAACGTCTCTCAGCCGGTGTTTTCATATTTTTACGCCCCTCCGCTCTTGCACGGTGGTTTCCATGCTTCAGAGACGACAAACGTAGTCTGCAGGTAAATTATAGCGTTAACGGGTGTGCAGCCTTTCCCCCCTTGTAGATGAGATATAGGTTACATCAGATCTACCTAGGCTTTGTCATTAAAAGCGACAGCCTTTTCAGCAACATGTTATGTAAGTGAAAACTGCACTGCTCAGAACATATTGGCAACCTAAGTTGGATATTTCCAACAACGTTTCAGTGTTGGTGTGATCAATTATTTATTCGTTTGACATCACGGATGAAATTACACCTCACTCTCATTGTACATTGTACACATTATCATTTATTTCTTTTAAAGGAAGAGCGTCATTAACCATTAAATAGCAATCATCTTTGGTGTATGTCTGCATCCATGCTACAGTAACGCTTCCAGGGTCTGAACCTTTGTAAAAGGCGTTCCTCACAACTGGGCATACCCCAGCGTCACCGCTACCAGCATGCACTGTATTATAATCAGAGTTGTGCTTTTGCAGCTATGGGATCAGATGTGACTTGCCTTTGCCTTTTTATAAAGCCTTTTTGATTATTAGCCTTCATTTTGGGGTGCATCAAATAGCTCCCCTCCCCCGTGTGCTATTTAATTATAGGAAGCGTATGAAGTTAAAATAACCCCCTACTATTTAAAGAAATTGGAAAGCTTTCTAAGGCTTTACGGTCTAGAGGTTGTAATAGAAGCTAGATAATGCATTTATTTGTCTTTCTTTACTAAATATGACTGATTAAAGAAAAAGATCATCATAGTAAGGTAATCCTTTAAAGACTATTAGAAGCGTTCTGCTTTCATCACGTCTGCTTTATGACTGAGGTCTCCAACCCTACAGTATATATGTGTACCAAAGAGGCAATTACTTTCCTGTTCCATAGACAGAGGGACTAATAATCCCAAAAGGAATTTCTACTCATAAGTACATGTGTGTGCGTTTTTAAATCAGTCACAGAGTGACTCAGAGTGTGTTTGTGTGCTGACAGGAAAACCATGACTCTGACCAGAGGATCTTTCACCTATGCTAGTGGGGAAGAGTACCACGGCGAGTGGAAAGAAGGCAAGACAATCCCACTTTTCAGTTTTAAAGAAAGCTTAAAGGATGTCCAAACATGTTTATGTTAGTACAAGGGAGACAGGCTGTCACTTGTAGCTATGGTAGTGTGTTTAGAATATGTCTCCAAGGTGTTGTTGCTTTAGCTATCAGCTTTTAAGGTTTTTCTGCTGCTTTTTCACTAATCTTTAGTCCAGCTCTGGTAACTGACCATTTTCAGAGGAATGGTCTTTTTTCTTTTTCTTTTTATTAATCCACTGAACAGGTGAAATTTTTTTTTAAAAATTGGATCATTAGGCACTTTATTACTAGCAGCCTGTTACAAAAACGCAATTTCTTCCCATTTCTTTAGTTGAATCTACAGAAAATACCAAAGATATACTTTTTTAATCCACCATGCAGTGCCATCTAGAAAGCATCTGATTGGCAAGGGCTTCATTTTTTAGCATGACAATGATCACAAGCACACTGGAAGTGCAGTAAAAGCATACCTGGATAGAAGAACACACAATGAAGCACTGTTACTTATGGATTTGCCCCCCCAGAGCTTGTACCTCAACATTATTAAAGCAATGTGGGATAATTTTGACAGAGAACAGAACAAAAGGTAGCCGACCCGGCGACCCCCAAAGAAGAACTTTGAAAGGCCTGGAGAGATATTTTGCTCTCTTAGGAAAGAAAGCTTGTCTAAGAGAGTTCAGGTTGTGTTGGGCACAGCAAATACTAACTTTCAAGCTTTTTAGACCTGTATATTTCCTTGCATGTTTCCAGATATTTCAATAACTTTTAAATAATTTTAGTAAATTATAAAGCATCAGCTAAAGCAGCATCCATTAGATAAGGTAATAAGTAAGCTGCCTCACTGAGCTTGATGTTCACCCATCTGTGCTGGATGTTTAACTTCAGAGTACACATAACAGAGAGCTTTGTAAGTGAGTTGTATTTACATAAATAATGTTATTACAGGGAAATAGCAGGAAAGTACCAAAGGCAGGGTTATCATAAAGCTGTGGGGAAAACATCTTTGTCCAAATTTTCACCTGTCTAAAATATCACAGGATGCTTGCTCTGTTTTAAATCTCTCTAACACACATACAGTGATGCTACATTTAGTGACATGCAAGCTCAAGCTATTTAGTCAAATCCCAATTAGCAAGCACTGGTAACCCAAGACAAGCAGCGACTGAGTTGCTAGCTCTGGCTTTGTCTGGATTAGACTTTGGACCTGTTTTGGAAATCTTAGTGTCCTCTGTCAGCTGCTTCTGAGAAACTAAGCCAATATGCTAGGAATAAGACAATCCCAGAGTAATTTTCTCTTGTCATTTGGTTTGTTAAGATTTTCAGCTGCTTTTACATAAAAACAACACAACTTAACCTATTGTATTCAACAAATTTTGCTCTACCTGCATTTTCAGTGTGGCTTTCGTGGATTAAACCAGTTGCAGGTGTGTGCCCTCTGATGTGATTATAAGCTTCAGTAGTGGATCACAGGCTTCTAGGAGGGGAGTGCAAGTACATTCCTTGACTGTTTTCACAATCTGGATCCCAAAGTAGAAATCCCTGCTAAAAATCTGCTGGATTAGACTGCTGTAATTCTGAGTGCACAGGAGGCAGATGGGACAGTAGTAAACCTTTCTCTGAGCAAGGGTGGAGGGGTATTTAAATCCAGGCACGTACTAACTCATGTGACATGAGAAGCACCTCTACGGTAAAAGTGAATTTAAATCCCTCGGCCACACTGTAAGTTCAAACGGTAGGCTCGGTTTTCCATCAGTATGTTGCAATTTGTTATGTAGGAATAAACCACAACAGACCTGGTGGTTGATTTTAATTAGATTCCTCACAAGTGAATGGTATCTTCTGTTTGAAGTTACTGCCATTGCTCACTTTGATGTTGTGGAACTTTCCAGGTCGGAGACATGGTGATGGCCAGCTCAAGTTTCAGGATGGAACCTGTTACAGCGGTCAGTTTGAGAATGGACTCTTCCATGGTTCTGGTGTACTGCTTTTTACAGATGGATCCAGGTGTGTGAACAAAAAGAGTGGAAACAACAAGAGAACAAATTTTGTACTTGATTAAAAAATAAACTCATGCTTTACTTTCACCATTTCAGATACGAAGGCGAATTTGCACACGGAAAATTTCATGGCACGGGTGTCTTCAGTCGATATGACGGCATGAAGTTTGAAGGGGAATTCAAAGACGGGCGTGTTGAAGGCTATGGTAAGAGTTTTACAGCACTGGAAGAGCCTGTCCATCAGGATGTCAGTATTCTCTCTCTGTGATAGCGTCTTAGCGTCCTCTGTCTGTCCCTCCAGGGCTACTGACTTTCCCAGATGGAACTCATGGCGTTCCACGAAATGAAGGCTTGTTTCAAAACCACAAGCTGCTGAAGAGAGAAAAGTGTCCAGGAGTGGTGCAGCGTGCGCAGGCTTCAGCCTCCAATGCTCACAGCCTGGCGCTTTGACAACCCTGAAGGACACAATCGCACTCAAGGTTCCAACACCATCCGAAAGGGCGTCAGGGATTGTACTTGAATATGTTTCCCCAGCTCTTCTCTCAATGTCTTCATCTCTTCTTTTACCATGACTTTTTTTCTTGTTATGCATGATCCTCGCTCTGCTTCAACAGAGGCTTGGAATCCACATGCAAATTGACCAAATAATGACTTTCTGGAAGACTGACATGAAATATGAAGACCATAAAGCACACCTTTAACTTCAAGTTATGAACACAGTGAATGCTGCTGTTCCGGTGTTCTGAACATCGTCTTTTTGTCTTTCCTATAGAATACTTAGCCTTCTTTTATCAAACCAGGAAAATTGAGACATCTGGTTCTTTAAAGAGTTTGTAAATTAATTCTATAGGTGGAATTAATTCACCTTAAAAAGGTGCAAGCTATTACAAGAAAGTGAAACCTAAATGTACCTTTTGAATTTTTAACTAGTGGTGCCACTAGCAGTGCTTTTATAAGTGGGTCCGCTTTTGTTCTTCACATTCACATGCACAAGGACGTGCTTGCATGTGCAAGAGCATGGCAGCAACATGATTCACATTCATGACAGCATGCCCACAAAGCCAGTCACAAAGACCGAGGGCTAAAACACAGATCTAAACAATGCACCATTTCAAATAGTTTTTAATTGGCTTTGTAAAGGTGTTATGAGCAAGGAAAAGCATTCAACAAGTTTGACGGGTGGAAAAAGACACACACAGCGCGCTGCCGAAACGAGGTGAATGTAAATGATTCTGAGAACACTCCAATGGCCGCCTTTAAGAGTCCCTCAACTGAAAATCCTGCTGCTAACTTTACAAAAAAAGGGATCAATTTTTCCACTTTCCCCCTTTTGAAAATCAGTATTCACGTTTGCCTTAAAGACATTTTTGTGCAAGAGTGTAGTTCAAGGTTGTTTGATTTAAAAAAACAAAAACAAAAGACGCACAACGCCCTCTCTTTCCCTTCTTGACTCCATTGCTCCGAGACATATCGCTAAGCTGGTGCTGAGGTTTTAGCTCCCATCAACGCGTCACATTTACAGTGGAAATCACAACTAAATGCACTCAATTATGGACCTAAATCTTAAACAAGGCAGCAAATTGAATGATTTATAAATCAGATATCTATTTCACTTTGTAACGTGTGTAGTCCTTTTGTGATAGATAGTCATCGTCTGTGACTGTTTTTGGTTTGACCTCTGGAATGAATTGTTGGTCAGGTGGAAAATTGTACTACTGCATTATTTAACACAGTGTAGTTAAAGAACGTGTTAAGAATTTATTATTAACCTTTATAGCTGATCACAGCCGACCTGTGATTTCTGATCATTTCCGTGTACTTGAACAGTTAATAGGCCTTAAAAAGCATTTGTTGAGATGGTTTGTCTAGGGTTGCCTACACAGCGCTTCAACCAAAGACAGACAGAAGATACAGCTACTGAACTCCAGAACAGTCAAGTGTCATGTTTTCCTGAACAATAAAGAGCAATCAGTAAGAACAAATTGCAGATTAAACAGGGAATTGAAATCAGATTCTGCTTTAAATATGTCTGATGTTTCGAGCATGGTTTAACACATTTACAGGCATTCACTGCTGTTACCGGGTATAAAGAAAATCAATTCACAGTCTTGCATTGTTGCTTTGAACGCCCCTTTGGTATGGCAGCACGGTGGAAAGTACAATCACAAAGACAGCAGTACAGTGAATGCATTAGTACCACTTTATAAAACACACTTTAAGGGTTGAACTGTGTGAAAACAGTGTAATATGCTGCAGATCTCGTAGAGGGTTTTCTTTTTCTTCTCCATTAGACACAACACTTCCTCAAGCCTTCTTTGCTTCCACACTTCTGCCTGAGTGAAACTGGATACACTCGAATCACACATCCTTTTCCAAATGGAAACAAATGGTGCTTTAAAAGTGTGCCTGCCCAGATTTTCACTTGCCTGGAAAACATCGTTTCGGTTCTTAGGTTTTTGTTCAGTAACGATTTAATGTTGCTTTGAGTGCTCTCAGAGAAAACTGTTGCACAATATCCTGTAACGTTCCTGGAATAAGTCTCACAGAGGTGGCAACCAGTGGATGTGTTTAATAAAGATCTTTTTTGCTGAAAGCGAAACGTGTTTTTCATTGAGTGTCACAGTATTTGAATTGAACAAAGAAACAGGAAACGCTTTAGTTTTTATTTCATAGCTTCTCAGGGATTCTAACGTAAAGGGTAAATTATGGGAGAGATGTTTGCATTTCACTCACAAACAGGTTCCACAGAGGGAAAACCTCCAGCTTCCCCATCCCCCTCTTTCTCGCTGTACATCATTCCAGCCCTAACTCGCAACAAAGCAGCATGCAACTCACAAAGAGCTGAGAACATTAAACCTCAAAAAGTAAAACAATCACTTTTCTAAAACTTTCATTTGATATACACAGATTAGCAAAAGCCGTGCTAAGATTGGGTCGACAAAATAAAACTATAACACTTGCACACAGTGTGAATAACCTTCTATTGTTTGTGGTATGTTTTCCCCAGTGTCCCTGACAGTTACACAGCATTGCTTTTAACAGGAAACGTGTCTATGTGCGATAGTTTATCTGATGCACTGCCTACAAGAAGCACAGTGATACATGAAAAAAACAACATTTTACACCAGCACTGTGAGAAATACAGCAGTACCACAATATTTGTTTAGGAAGCTGTGCTGGCTATTTTTAGAATATGCTACTGTACTTAAAAGACTACAGTATAAGCAGAGCAGCAAATTGTTTCCCCAGCGTGAATGACAAATGTCCCTCAGGAACATTTGAGCCTCTGATGATAGAAGGAAAATATGTTGCTGAGCTCCTGCTGAATCTCTGACTTTAGCGGGAGGCATACCCATCATCTCTGCTGCTGTCAGCTGGTGTCTCAAACACAGGGCTAATGCGTTCTCTGGCCTGGCCCACTGGCTCAATAAAAGAAGGACCTCTAATGTATATTCAAAAACAACTTTTACACAGTCCCCATCTCTGTCAGCTTTATTTAACTTTCAAAAGCATCCCAAATCAGATGTGAAATATTCAGAGTGTTCGTAACAATATTAAGCACTTTTAAACCTCGTTTCAAAATCACGAGGCTGCCTTTGTTTTTTTCACTTGTGAGTTGTTTTCTTACTGTTTTAAATAAGCAGATACTTTTTAATATTAATGTTAATCCCCAACTGATATTTTCAGACTGATTTAGAGGTTTTACAGTAACGTACTGGAAACGCAGATGCAAATATCATTTACACAGCACTACATAGAAGTAGAGAATATATTTATATAGAGAGAACCTGAGGCAGATGCTCATAGAAAGTGATATAGAAAGAATATACAATATGAATCAAGGGTGGATCGTCAACCAAGTGGATTTTAGCTCACTGAGAGCCTCAACAATCCCAGGATATCTGCTGGCTTTAAGTTCAATGCGGCAGAACTGTAACCACTCAGTTGTAATGTAAACTGAGGTGATCCTTGCACAGATGCACAGCTTTGTGCTGCACTGTTCACTCCTCCCCTGAGTTGTTAGAAGGCGACAGTACTCCCACCTTCCTTAGTTTCTCAAGCCTCTGCAGGGTCTCCACGATGTCAAACTGCCATTGTTTTACCTGCTGCACTGCTGTCAGTCCTTCCTGTAATCACACTGTCACTTTGTTACCACTGAGGTATATAGCATGCAGAGTGTTGAGATGTGAGCAAAAACCATGTTAGCTTTTAATATGCAGGCAGTAAATATGCTTTAAAATAGTGGCAATAAAGTGTAATAACAAATATAATGCTTAGATTTAAAAATCCTAGTGGTTTGTGTGTGTAAGGCGGTGGAGGCCTGGTCCTTTTAGTTTGCAAATTAGCAAAAATTAAAGAGATGAATAGGTGTGACACTGGCATGAAACTGAACGTGACACTTGTCTTATGTCATATGCACCACAGTGTTAATATCTTAGCATGAAGACAGGAAACTGCAAGTATTGTTCAAAGAAAACAGAAGCACATCTGAAGATCACACCTTACATCTTGCTCATTTAAAAAAACAACTCAACCAAAAAACAATGCACCAGTCTGACAGTTTATGAGGTGCTGCTGAACTACATTTCTTGACTTGGATCAAAACTGCCTTTCGTATGAATCAAAAAGCAAACTGTCATCATTGTCTCACTTTATTATGAGATAACCAAACTAGCATTGTATTTGCACATATGGAAATCAAAACCGTCCTGTGAACCAGGTTCTTTACATTTTCACACCCATGCTAACCTGCACACTAATGAGAATTAAAGATGAAAAAAAAAAAAACTCACATGATTTTTTATTTTTGTGTCAGCTCCTGCAACTATGAGCAGCTTCACTATCTTGTATCTGTTGAGACGCACTGCATCGTGCAGGGCTGTGTCACCTTCCTAAAACCAGGTTTTAAAAAAAGCATTTTTGTTAATGACTTAAATAAACTGTAGAGGTCATGAAGCACAGAAGTGGAGCGGAGTTGCCACCTACCCTGTCCCTGGAGTTGATTAAGGCCCCACAAGACAGCAGGTATTCCACAATGGAGGTGTGGCCTGTTCTCGTGGCAACATGCAGAGGTGTGCTATGCAACTGCAGTACAGACAATGATATAATCTGAGATTGTGGGAATGTGTGCAAACTCGTGTTCAATTAGAGGCTGACTGTGGTCTGGTGCGAATGCAGAGCCCACTAAAATTCACATTTACCTTATCTCTAACATTAAGATCAGCCCCGTGGCTCTTCAGGACTTCGACAACCGTCAGGTTTCCCCCTCTGCAGGCCCAGTGTATGGCCCTAGAGCCCAGCTGAAACACAGTAGGAGCCACCACCCCCCATCCCACCCCCCCAATCCCATCCCATTAGTAGTGCAGGCATCAGGTCACTAGAACCAGGAGCTTTAGTTTGAGAAGATAATCTCACTCAATCCCATCATCATCTTTACAAACCTACAGCGTGCACACACGTCTTACTTGATCTTTTAGGTTGATATCAGCTCCTTTTCCTAAAAGCATTTGGACAACTGGAGCATGTCCTTCCAGGCAGGCGCGGTGGAGTGCTGTCCTCTTCAGCTGGCAAATGTAAATATATTATTAGCTGAGATTTTAGCATGCTATATTTTATTCATGTTTTACTGTGATGCAGGGAGAGCCCTACCTCATCGTGGGCATTTGGGTTCCCACCATCTTCCAGATACCTGTCTATGATATCCAGTTTGCACTCACTGGCTGCGTTCATGAATTCTGCAGTATCCACAGGTTCTATCTGTCCACACAGACACACACAGAGGAGCAGGAGAGGCAGAGGTTCACTTTATACATCTTTGACATGAAGACACAGCTTCTGAAAATCATTCTCACCACTTGCATTTCCACAGACAGCCTGGGCATGAATGTTTTTTTGGTCTTCTTTTTTCTTTTGCCCAGCTCTGAGTTATCCTGTTCTGCACTCAGGTCCAAACTCTCGCCGCACAGGTCCAACGAGATTCTCCCCGTTCTCTCATCTACCTGCAAAATGACGGGAACAATAACAAACACAGTTTGAAAACCTAGATCAGCGAGGGAATGTTGGCTTTGGAAGCAGCGCTGCCAAGCAAGCTATGGGGTGTTGAGAGCCGGGAATGACAGTGTTAATGTCAAAACAAATTCACAGCATAGTGCAAACCAGGCTTGGCCATAGCAATAGAAACATTTCAGATAAAATGCCTCTCATGTGCTGTTCATAGTCACATTTTTGTATTAGTTATCAGATTTAATGTCAAACAAGCACGACACCTGCAACACTTACTCATATGTTTTTAATTTTTCTCATTAAGAACTTTTTGGAATTTTGATATTGTGATAACAACAGAAAATATATTATATAGTCTGTGCTGGCAGAGAGAGAAAGGGGGGTGTCAAACAATTATCATTTTAGGAGTCAACAGGAGAATGACTGCAAAAGCCACAGCAGGAATAAAGCTTTTACCTACCTGGGTTTTCTCTTCTTGTCCTGTCTCATGGTCCATCACACCGGCCCACTGTGCAACGTTTTCCATCCCTGGAAAATATGCAAAAATGCAATAATAATATAGTAATATCGAACAACTAAATGTTCAATAATCTAAAATATAATAGAATAAAACTGTCAGATCATACAGCTTATAGAGAAGTGCTGTTGGGCACAGTGGCTTGATGGCTTCAGTGACTTCAGTGACTTCATGGTGGGACATTGTGTTACTCCGACAAACAGGTGTGTGTGTACTTTGCCGTGTACTTGCCAGACCTACATTCTCGCTCACTCTCTACCTCCGTCATGCCCACACACACACAAACACACAACCCTCCCAAAACACACACACACACACACACACACACACACACACACACACACACACACACAAAGAAAAAGACCCTTTAGGCATGTCCTACACAGAGGGTATATTCACTGCATAAGCTCCTGGGTTTACTCCCTCCTGTAGCTGCCACAGTATGCCCTTCTCTTTTACTTCAATATTCCTTTCATAAACATGCTGGTTTGAGGGATTATGCTATTTATAAAGGTTTGATCACTGTCAAGTGATATCTCGATTGGTCACTGAGTCAGTTATTTTGTTTGGTTAATTTTGATAAACTGCATCCAGAATTGCAGGTAGGACCAGTGTGCACTGGGGGAGGGTCTTTAGTTGTTTTCACCTGAGAGAGTCAGGCAGCGGAAAGATAAATCAGCAAAGGGCATGGATTTTGTAAATCAACTGCCTTTGTCTGCATACAGTACATGACACAGGGCTGTTTGATAACAGGTTGTGCGGCAGCTACACAAACACTTCTCCTTTTTAGTGCTTAAAACCTTTTAGATGTACTTCAGTGTTGTATTTACCATGTCTGACACTTCCCCCCTTTCACGTGATGTGTTTGTGCAGATTTTAATTGTATAGACACACACATTCACTTGGTCCCACTCAGTCAGAAATGTTTGCAAATGAGTGACATGTTAATGTTTAACCAGTGACTCTGAAGGAAGTGACAGAGTTCAGACAGATAGGAAGCAGCAGCAGCCATTTTAGCAGAACATAACAATAGATGTTGTTATGTTCTTCTCCTCTCCTCTCACCCATGGAGCTCAGGCAAGGACACAGTTAACAATCAGCTTGTCTTTTATCATCCTGGCTGTGAGTACCGTTGCTTATATTACTCAAATTGATGTTGATCTTGGCTTTTTACTGTGTAAAAACCATTTTAAAAGAGTGTAAGCTCACATTTTTCAGTTAAATTTACTCTAATGTCTATAATTACAGAGGTTTGTATCTGCCATAGAAAGAGTTTAGTTCATGACGTTGCTGTTATAAAGTGGAGACTATGTTCACTGCCGTGAGTTCAGCACTGTGTGTGTTTCAGGTGAAAGTACGAGCGCCATGGTAACGCTGAATCGCTTGAGTGTAGCAGACCTGGACGACAGCTCTCAGCAGCTGCCTGAGGCCGCAGAAGCGGCAACCCCAAGACCAGCCTTTCACAGGAAGAAAGTGGTCCCAAAGACTGACTCCAGAGATGTTTTTCTCAACAGGTGCAGCACATCTGTAGTACTGCATTTCCTTTGTGGGCTATTATCTGTGCTATTTATAACTAACACTATATTTTGTTGCATTAAAAAAAACCCAATCTGCTGTAAAGAGAGGAGAACCTTTTCTTTAGCCTGATGCTGCTGATCGGATGTTATTTGGCTATTCTGATTCCTGCTTATCTCCCCGCGGACAAGGTGGCAGCTATCAGAGACGACTATCAACAACCCAAAGATATGGTACAGATGCATCTTTGTACATCTAGGCAAGTATTTGAGATGGTTTCTTTCAGCTTAAATGTTTTTCCCTCTGTTCAGGCCGTACTAAATCGGTCAGCCTCTCTGCTGGCAGGACCTTGTCTGCCTCGCTGGTGTCTAAACCACCTCAAGCACCTGTCTTGTCCTGTTGGCCTCCAAGACATCCCCGTGTTTGTACAGCAGGAGAGGCGTGAGCCATGGAGTCTGTCTCCTCCTCTTGGGTTTCAGGGCATCGAACAGCATCTCGCTGTAGCGCTCGCCACTCTGCCTCAACCTGGCCTGCCTCCATCATTGAAGAGAGAAGGCAGCTGCACGCGATGCGTGGTCGTGGGTAGTGGAGGGATTCTTCATGGGAGCCATCTTGGATCACATATAGATCAGTATGACATCATTATCAGGTATGCATTCCTGTGTCAAGTGGACACCAAAGACAGACTGTGGCGCCTATTTTTAAACCGTTGTGATGGTCGTCATCTCACAGGCTCCATCTGTGTTACCAGGCTGAATAATGCTCCGGTGCACGGCTTTGAGAGAGATGTTGGTTCGAGGACAACCATCCGCCTGACGTACCCAGAGGGAGCACCTCACTCCTCAAACGAGTACAGAAAGACTAGCATATTTGCTGTGGTGGTCTTTAAGAGCCTAGATTTAGACTGGCTTACTTCTGTCATCACCAAACAACCTCTGGTAAGGCCACATCACAAGATCCTCCACTGCACACGGAAAGGGCATATTGCACACACAAGCATCACAGAAAGTCATGTAGCAATGGCACAATACTATCTTCTTTTATTTTTATTTTTCAATAGAGCTTCTGGTCCAAAATGTGGTTCTGGAAGGAAGTTGTGGATCATATCCCCCTGACACCAGAGAGCTTCAAGATCGTCCACCCAGAGATTATTCACAAGATGGGCCAAGTTATAGAGAAATATGAACTGAACCAGAGAAATGTGAGTTTCTATGAATGAATAATCTGTGGACATTAATGACTGTGCAAATAACAAAATTACTTTCACTTAAAATCATAAACTCACAGCCGTTGGGAGGGCTTTTGCTATCATGCTGAGTAATTCTAACGAAACGGGACTGAACTTATGTTGCAAACTACGTCACAGCTCGTTTTTTTTTCCTCCCCAAGAACATATTGCCAACAATTGGTGCCACTGGAGTGGTGATGGCTTTGCAGATGTGCGACCAGGTGAGCCTAGCTGGGTTTGGGTATGACATGCAGCACCCCGAGGCCAGGCTTCATTATTATGAGGCCATACGCATGGACACAATGAAGTCTCAAGTAAGTTTAGCTTAATGATCAAAGCAGTGGCAAGGAGGCGTCTGAGCTTCATGCTTCGACTCATTTCCCCCCCTATGATTATATCCAGGTGGTGCATGATATAACTGCTGAAAAACTCTTCTTGAAGGACCTGGTTGCTGCAGGAGTAGTGACTGACCTAACAGGAGGGGTATGAGTCAAAGATTGGTGATATACAGAACTGAAGAACCCTACACACTGCAGACAGATTCTAAAATGCTCACAGCATCATGTGGTTAACTGATTGCTGAGCACATTTAACTCCAAGTGACGGTAGAGGCAAATTTTTCTCATTACAATTCAATGAACATGTTAAATCACTGGATCCTGTTCTGTAATTGTGATAGGAGAAGCTAAATTGTGCTACCACACAGAAACATGTGATGGTCTAGGTTCACACTGTACTGTTTCAACTGAGTTTACAATTTAATAAACATAAAACATAAGAATGTGAGACTACTGATTGTTTTTTCTCAAAAATTATTTCTCGTTTATTAAGACAGACAAACCATAATTACTATTACTATGTTTCCTTCATACATCTTATTACGCTGCCATTAGTAAAGGCAAAAAAAGGGACAATAGCTGCATTTCTTAAAAACAAACCAAAAAACAAACCAAAAATCAGCCACAAATTTTAAAAAGAAAAAAAAATATCTCAGTAAAATGATACAAATATTTAGATTAATAATAAATATGAACTAAGTCAAATACATATTTTTAAGAACATATTAAAATACTCAAAAATTAGGAAGTGGAACATGCTTCATAAAAGACGAGGTGTGTACAGCGCACAGTGGGGTTTGATTTATCTAATCAGAAATCAAAGTGCTTTCAATAAATAATTTTGGGTCTTAGGATTTTAAACACAATACAAAAATACACTGACAATGAAACAGAAGCAGAACACAACATGTAAAATAAGAGTTGTTTTTTTTGTTCTTGGCTACTCTGACCCACTGTGAGAGTGTGGGTCTGTCTACAGCAGTGGGTTGCGTGAGGGCTCCCATAATTTGCTTGCCAGCTGCCTGCAGTGCTGGAGGATGATCTCAGTGGGGATGACTCCCAGGTGAACTGTTAGGAGCTCGTAGCATTTCACTGTCTCGCCCGGGTGATTCTTACTATAGTACCGAAGCAGCTTCCTGCAACATGCATCGCTTTGTTTAGTCAGGGGAACGAATTAAAGAAAAATATTTCTATCACACCAGGCTGGTTACCTGTAGTAATTCTGAGCAAGCATCCCGATAGGGGCGAAGTCATCGGGCATGATGGGTATGTCTTTTGCCTCCAACTTGAAGCCCTGATTGAAGAGGTATACAAATTGAATTATAGGCTTTTTTGCTGTTTCAGGCTGTTAAATTTGTTTTCATGGATAACAGAACAAAGTACAGCAGTGACTTACAGTTTCATTTTCAAACCAGAGAAAGTAGCAGAAGTAGAAATCTCCATCACGTAATGTTAGAGTGGAGTAACCCTTCTGTAGATAGTGCCGTGTTGTGCTGACCAGGCTCCACATCTTCAGTATGGATTAGAAAAAAGAAATGACAAAAATATGCATACTGTGATTATCCACACGCTGTCTTATGCACAGCCTAATGTACGATGAACATGAGGCTACAGACAGCTGGCCTAATTTATCACAACACTAGGAAACAGTCGACACATAAACTCACCACCACACATAAAACAAAACTATCTGTACGTGTTTGACTTCCAAGAAGTCAGACTTTGTCGTTTTTTGAGTAATAGGTCTCCAAGCTTTCTGAAGGTCTTTCAAAGCTTTTCTTTGATATTGCCCGCCTTTTCACCAATTCTCAGTCCAGTCCTTGCACCTGACCATTTGCAGAGTGATATAAAAAAGGCACCTACCACAAAAGAAGAATTAATGTTGTGTCTAGACGTAACAGAAAACTTAGCAAAAGGCTTACTTCAAATTCCTTACTACCTTTGGCACTTTATTACTAGCAGCCTGTTCCACAAACACACAGTTTGCTGACATTTCTTTAGTTGAGTCTAGGAAAAATGCCAAAGATGACATAGCTTGATAGACATAAAATTGTATTTTTGAACCAACAATGTGATTCCCAAAAAGCTAATAGCTGAAAACTTGTCATATCCTTAAAAATGCAACTGAAAACTGA